CTTTTATGACCTTAGTCATTGTGGTTTTTGAAGAGTTTCTGATAGTAAAGTAAGAGATGGGAAAAATTGTTATCATGTTTCCCTTTACAGAATAGGGCAAATATTGTGACCTCTTGTTTCAGCTTTTATTCTTCTGGGTTTTTTGTTAGTCATGAATTTTTGATTTGGTTGGTTGGGGTTTTTTTCCTCCTGTAGCCTGTGAGAAGAGCAAGGATATACTCTAATTTTTCCATTCTTCCCTTGACACTTGTAGTTGAAATAATAAGATGAAATAACCTATTAGGAGGTGGTTCAGAAACCTGTTTGTAACAGACACTCCAGTATACTTATATCGTGGAAAGCTTGCAATGTAGACTGCTAAAACGTTGTTGAGCCTTTGTACCCAAAGCTATTGGTCTTTAGGGTTCCTAATACACGTGAGCTTTCAAGTTCTACTTTCAATAGTGCTTTAGTTGATTTGAGAGCCTTCATGCCAGATTTTATTAAAGATACTGGGAATAAAATGCTTGAGTAACTCCTCAAAACTTTTTTAATTTGGTAGAAAAGCTTTTGCATACATTGATTTTCAAAAATACTGGGAGAAAAAGCTCATTTCCTCTGAAAGAGCTGAGGGAGCCTTCAGCCAAGTTCTTTCCCTCTTCTGAGGTGATTTGTTGTGCACTCGCTCACAGTGCTGGCCCACTTGGCTCTGTGTTATGTAGGAAAGAGATCTGTGCTCGACCACTGAGGCATGTGGTAGAAGCATCAGTGTTCGGCTTGACTGGTCCTCTTGCTGCCCAAGAATGAGTGTTGGTACAGAGTTCCAGGACTGGTCATCATTTAGACGACAGTCTTGTTAGTTCAGATAGCTCAAACATTTGGAAGACTAAATGCTAGCTACTCCTTAATGAATGATGAAGTTCAGTTTAAAGCAAGTATATCTGAAAGCTGAAATATTTTATAGTTACATTTTTAACTATAATTAATATGAACCGAAGATGTCAAAAATAATGTTATGATAACCTCTTGTGTGTCACTGAACTAATTACTAGAGTATTTTAATTTGTCCAGTTAAGTTCATAGTCCTTACTAATGGATCCATTAGCTTTTTACAAAATGACACATGTTGATCTCATGGAAAAATCAAATAGTCACTATAGTAAGCATGATTGCTTCAAATCATAGTTGCTTTGTCAGAAGACTTACTGACAACTTCCAGTCAGATGCCTAATTCTACATCGAGAACCATCCTGTACTTTTTCTTTTTGTGTTTTTACAGTTACCAAACTGAAAAGACTTTCAAAAATACCTACTGTTGAACTCTGTTGTGAAAGTCAAAGTTTTATCAATCTAAATTCTTTTCCTTTACAGTAAAAAATAGACAAGCTATTATTTATGTCAAATATGACTTTTTTATCAGTAGTCTTTACATCCTTCATTTTTCTTTACTGCAAAGCCATTTGGTGGAGAGTAGTCTTCTACTGAAAATGGATCTGTGATCCAGTTTTTCTTTGTTAGTGGTGGGAAAGGTGTTTTGGGGTTTGGAGTTTTTATGTACATGTTTGTTTTTATTAAATTTGGTGGGTCAAATTCAGCCACATACTTTTATGTTAACTTTGAGGTCGAAGTGAATTTTCACTTCATTTTTAGCAAGGATTCTTTTAAGGTTTGCCAGTGATGGCAATATTCTTCTTCCTGTGCTGTAAGCTACAGTTTACGCAGTGCTTTTTGTTTTGCTTTGTTTTGTGCTTTCAAGCACTGCAAACCAATATCCAGTTCATTGAGATATGAGTTAACTTAGGTTACCTATGGCTCTTTGCAGCGATAACGCACGCTCAAAACAGTCAATGTTTAGAACTAAAATCACTGTGGAAAATGTGCTTCAGAACAGGGCTCAGGAAGAGCTTGAGCTTGTCTCAATGGTTGCTTCTGACTTCAATGGCACAAAAATGAAAGTCACCATGAGTTCAATGCTTCTGCTTTAGTAAAACTGATCAGTGTTACAACCAAATGCAGACTTATTATCAGATGGACATTTGCTTAGTGTTTTGCAAAGAGTACTGTTTGAAAGAACAGTAACTGTTGCTGCTGTCTCCAGTTTTGAGTCAGTGTTTGCATTTGAGTATAGAACAGGCTGTTGCACTTCAACCACTCTTTCCCCCGTTTTTGATCTCTGTAGATGAAGTTTTAAAGAGTTCTGGAATAATTAATCTTTAGTTGACATTTCTGATTCAGATCTTACCTGTGTCATCAAATTAGTCTGTTGTGGCTTCTCTTTACGTGTGTCTGTGCTTTCCTTTAGTGAATATGAGAAATTCTGAAGTCTTTGTAAGAGGAGACTTCTTAAATCTTCACACTAATGCTGGAGAGACTAAGGACTGTTTCCTTCTGTATGCAGTCTATAGACTTTCTTAAATCAAGCACCCCTTCTTTCACAATTCAGAGTAATTGCAAATAATCAGTGTCAGACCTTCTAAAACTCCTGCAGTATTTGCTGGTCATAGCAGGAATACCAATAGATCCTGAAATCTCTTAGGTTGCCTTCTGCATGTTTTATACTTTTTTTTTTTCTTATTTTCTTATTTCTCTGTATATGCGTTGGGGAAATTTTCAGTAGGGGGGGCAGAGAGATTGAACTTAGAGAGCAGGGAAGGTGCCAACTCAAGGTGTGGGTGAAAGACTTGCAACTCTGTTTAGACAGCTTTGGCTCCAGGAATTTTTTTCATTCCTCAGCAGCTCTAGGCACCTCAGATATTGTTCTTTATGTGACACTGGATGTGTTTTAATCCCATAATTTTCTAGGTTCTAAGAAGCTACCCTTCTGTGTAACAATTATGTGTGTTCTCCTAGTCTTACAATTGAGCTTTGATCCACTGTATAAACTCATCTTCAACGACTCCATATACATTTCAGCTGTAGGGAACTCACCACACATCTGTTATTTCTGAGTTCTTGAAAGTTTGCTCTATGCAGTAAGTAAATCAGGTGAATGGCTCTTTTGCATGGGTCCCCTTAACAAGAGAGTGTTTCTGGTGGCAGTAGATTCTCCATTTATTTTGAACGTGAACATCAGCACGTGTTTGTCAGAAGGAACCTTAGCAATGAAGAATGGACCTCTCTACAGGCTTGTTTTGGTGGCTTCAGCTGTGCAGCTTGATACATGCTGAAGGCTACCCCCAGCAGAATGCTAGCCAGCCAACCATGTGCCAGATGAAGCACAGCACCCAACTGTACACAGCCATCTCACATGAGACACTATTAAATAAAATACTGTACTACTGACATTTTCTTTAGCTGAAAGCGTTGGGGGATGTGTGAAGTGCTGGTGTTGGGGTTTTTTATTTGTTTGTTTGGGTTTTTTTGAGCAGTCTGTTGCTCATTGCAACTGTTTGAAGGTAAAAAATGTTTGTAAAAGGGAAGGAGTTTGCATAGACTGGTTTCCAGCAAATATGGAAAAAATTTTCCTAGTAATGCTTTCCATATTTGGAACTTACACTTAGGAAATGATGTGAGCATTGCTCCTTAGGATAGCCACAATATGGTTGTGAAGTAATGCTGAGAGTGATGTGATAAAGTGCAATTCAATGTATGAAATTTCCTTTAAAAATGTGCTTTGTTTCCTTAATGCTCTAATATTCTTGCAATATAAATGTATTCTCTGTCTTACCTCAGAAGAAACTGCCTGTGATTTCCAAGGGAGTTTTGCCTAAGGTAGGGCTTGCAACATCAGGACCAGGAATTAGTGTAATGTGACCCACCATTTGTATTGCTTTGGGGTAAATTTGAGAGAGAAAATTTAACATTGTGTGTGTCATGCTGAGATATTGCAATATCTCGGATGGGTTATTAGGCACCAATCCAAAGGTTAAGTGCAGCAACCACATGAGATGTGGCTTTATCCTTACATGATCTATGCCTGTGTTCTGTTTTGGAGTCCTCTGAATTAGGTATTATCCCTAGAATAAAACCTGTTTATAAGATTTTATTGAAACCTATCCCAAGCTATTAAATGTTGTTTCAGTAGAAAGATGTGTGCTTACGTGTCATTTGAAATCTAGAAATCAATCCTTGTATGTGTGAACTCGCTGACATTTTGAACCTGGATCCCAATGTGCATCAGATAAATATTCACGACCTTTGGGAAAGTCTAGGTATGAATTTGCAGTTTAGGACCTTTTCTAATTTATATGCATATATCTTTTTGGGGTTTTATTTTCCATGCTGTTTTTGCTTGGCTTGCATTAAATAAAATGCTTCAATGGAGTGTGGTAGTCTAGCATTTGTTTTGCCTCAGGAGTAAATTGCCCCATCTTGCATATCTGGTCAAGTAAATTGCTCTCTTGCCTGCGTACTTCGATAATAATACTGGGCTTTAGACCTTCCTATACAACCCCCCAGTGAGCAGAACCACAAGAGGCTGGGCCTATGTGTTGCTAGCAGTCTTCTCTATTGTAATGGATGCATTCATCTCCTATTTACATAAATTAATAGTTAAAACTTGTTTAGTTGCTTAAGAAAACTCATTAAGCTTTCAGAGTAGCTGTATTATGAGCACTGTGGCAATCGCTCCCATTGACTTATCTCCTGCTGGTTCACTGGGAAGCAGTCCATCTCAGGGTCAGGTCCCTAAGCTTCATTACAGAATTAAACAAATAGCATTTAAAAGAAAAATACAAATAATATGTTCCATGCAAAGTGAATGTTGGTAAGCTTCCATATGAAAAAGAGGTCACATTTAAAATTTTTAAAAATAAAATCCTATTTTTGTCTGCAAGGCCAATTTTCTCTCAGGAAATAGATCGTATTTTTTATCCGTTTTCTGGTAGTCACTGGAGAATGTTTGACATTGTAAGAGAAAGGTCAGTTTGTATCACCTGAAGTGGGAGGAGAATGTTTGATGTGAAAAGCTTGGCCAGATTTTTTGTTATTATTATTTGAATGTTCTGCTTTACCTTTTTAATTTATCATCTTCAGTATATGATTTTTATTTTTATTTATTTCCTATTTGGTTTTTTTTATAGATTGGAGAAAGAGAGCATTCAGCACAGCATTAGCAACGAAGCAAAGGCCCGAGCCCTTCAGGCCCAGCAAAGAGAGCAGGAGCTGACACAGAAGATGCAGCAAATGGAGGCCCAGCATGAGAAAACTGGTAGGTGGTAGGGAAAGATTAGAGCCTGGGCACTCACTCACAAGCCAGGCCCACGCCTTACTGTGAAATGACATCAGGAACACCTGTAACCTTTGGCTGGCCGAAGGGAGCAGATGCTAACTACACCGGAGATTCCGAATTACATATTAGTTAGCGTTTAAAAGAGAAAATGGAAAGTATTGCCCACTGTCTGTTGATTTCAGAGTGCTGCTCTCACATCTGTTGCACCATCTGGATTATGAGTTTATTTACCTGTGTTCAAGAAACGTAAAGCTGAGAGAGACCACAACAAAGTAGAAAAACAAAGGGCTTGTTTTTGGCTGGATTTTCAGGCACACATGTTATATAAAGAAAATAGCATCAGAAGCTCTGCGGGAAATGCTCTGAGCTTACAGTTAAAGTCTCCTGAATAGCATTGAACAGTTCCCACAGTACACACATTATAGCTACTCTAAAAGCTTAATGAGTTTGCTTCGGCATCCAAACTGGAGAAAAGCTTTAGCCATTAATCGGTTCTTAATTCACTGTCGCAGCTGGATGTAATTCACTGGCTCCAAATTGATATGTTCCTTTATTTAATCTTTGCAGCCTCAAACATTTTTAGCATTACCATGTGCCCCCCCCACATCCTCAATCTAGAAGAAAGATGTTTAATCCCTTGCATACTTCAGGTTCTCATAATAGGAGACTTCATTGCATTGACTTAGCCGATCAATAACTTCTAACTTTAATCTGGAAATAAAAAGGGGTTTTCCAAACAAACAAAAAAACCCCTTTTGTTATTGCAAAGTACTATGCCAACAACATTAATAAAAGTAAATATTATAAATAAAACAAAACAAAAATTTTTTAAAAAGGGATTTTTTTAGAGAGGAAATCTCTAACCCCTGAGCACAGAAAGAAGGAGGAGCTTCAGCTCTTATGGAACATGATATATTCATGTGTTTAATAGAGTATCATTTGTACGCATCAGTCCTGCAATGCCTTTAGGAAAACCATGTAACATTAATCCTAAGCAGCATTGGATGATACCTGAAGAGCAGGCATGTTTATATCTGCTGTCTGATTTTATGCCTTTTTTTCAGCATTATCACAGTACTAGAGGACTTTTCCATGTGTTCAGGGAATGCAAACAGCTTCATTATGGCTGCTGTCTACACTGTAAGAAAAGAAAAGGAGCTCTCAGAATCATCTTTCCCTCCTTTAGCCAGCACATCTGCATATGACCATGTGTAATTTTGCACAAGAGAGATGTAATTTACCCTCCTGGTGCATGAATTGTCCCAGTATACAAAAATGAAACAACATTATATCTGGTTTTGGTTTTTTATATCTCTAGTAGGATTAGAAGGAGTTGAAAATTATAGTCATTTATTATGTGTATAAAGAATCCTTTGGTTATTATGACCCTCCACACATTGGTTAAGAATAGTCTCGCTTTCTCCAATTTTAAAAGCAAAACTGAAGAAACATCATTTTGTAGTATCTTCCTTTTGAAAGAATAAAGATGCCTGAATGCTAGATCATGAGTTTTGGTGCAGCCCAAACTCACAGTAACTAAAAATTAATTTATAAAATTGTTTCACTCCAGCTGTCACTGGAGAATAAGTCTATATCTTATCATTTAAGAAAAAGAAATTACGTTAATTATAATAAGCTCAAGACCTGATAAATAAAAGAACTGCTTTTTTAAGGAGATACTGAATAAGTCTACAGTTGTAGACTCAAATGAGTTTGGGTTGTCAGTGTATCCTCTGTACCAGTAGAGCAAGCAAAAGTCTGCTAAAGCATTGCTTGCCAATTTTATTCCTCCTGGAAATGTCAATTAGCTTCTAGCTAAAAGGCAAAATTACCAGATTAGATATCTAGTCTTCATGGTGACTCTTCTCTTACAAGACCAGATTCAGTGGCAACATTGCTTTAACACTTTAGCTAATTATGACATAGAGCTTTAATTTGGTAAATGATGCTGTCTTGATTCCATACCCAAGTAGCTGAAGTTTAAAAAACATTTCAAAACTAGAAGGATCTAGAAGAAAGAAATTACGAATATATAAAATTGTTTCTAAATTATCTATAAATTTATATAATTAGAAAGGAACTTCATAGTTTCATAATTTTATGATTTCTAGTAGAAGAACTGGATTCATTGCTGACTTCCCAGAATACATTCATAGCAAAATTGAAGGAAGAATGTTGTATGTTGGCAAGGAAGTTGGAACAAATGTCAGAAAAATACAGGTTAGTATATTTTTCTTAAATTGCCCCTTTTATTACTAGGACATTATTTTTTTTTATTTGTATTTTAATATTTATTATTATTCATTTTGTTCCAGGTATTACACATCATATCAATGTAATATATGCCCTTTAAGCAGTGGCCCTTTAAGTGGCTGAAGCTGGGAGATGAATCCCATCCAGAGTGTTTGGGGAAGAAATGAGAAACTTGCTGAACTGTAGGCAGTCTTCCCTTGCAAATGTTGTGATGGGTACTTGAGAGAGAAGAAAACAGAATTTTTCTTCTGAAAAAGCAGAGCTCTTCTGCTAAAGTAATGCAAAATCTAAATAGATTCAAATCATATTATTATTCCAGCAATAAAAATGCACACAGACTTTGTTGCTAGAGCTCACAGTCACAGACTAGTAACTGTAAAGGATGAAGGAAAGACAGAAAACATACTGTGAAAACACATTATTCTCTGAAAATAAATACTAGAGATTGCCAAGTGTTTCTCCACCTAGCAGCATTAGCTGACTATGTCAGGAACCTGAAAAAGGGAAAAGGAGCCCTCTTGCATCTCCAGAAAGTGGTATATTTTACACAGGAAACTGTAAGGAAGAATACATGAAAGTCGTTCTGAGAAGTGGCCCTAAAATAGCTTGAACTTGCCTTCATTGGAGCTGGAGCTGCTGCAGTCAGTAACAAGAATGGAGAAATGGGTAGGGACGAAGAAAGAATGTAAAAATGAAAAGAGAAAGGTAGAACTGGAGATGGTGGGAAATGAGTCTAATACAGATGACTGCAGAGAGTGATATGATCAGGTGCAGAAAATTACTTTGGCCAAGTTTTAAGTGCGTGATCAGCATGTATCTTTCAGTAGCACCTCTCCAAAAGGCAATCTTTGTTCTCATTGTCACTGGATATAGTGTAAAACTACAATTCTGGGACAGAATGCTGTAGGTTTGTCTTCTGAAAAAAAAACAGTAATTTGGGGAAGATTTTATAACTTATTTCTTAAGTCTATTAATAAAAGCAGATCACGAAGCAGCAGTGTGCCCAATTTGCATGGAAAATATATTTTCCATTTATGGTTTTTTACATATTTTTGACCTTACCATAAACTGAATTTTGGACCTCGATGTGTATTTTCTTGCTATACTTGTAGAATCTTTGTGCCTTAGTTTCCGTGGATTTAAGAAATAACTGGTATACTCCCAGTACCATTATTTAATTGGTAAAACACTCAAACTCTTTTAATAACAGATGTAATAATAAGTTTTATTTGAATATTTTTGCTTTTGATGGGAAGTGCCCATTTGTAATAAGAGACATTTCAAAACTATCTGTGACAACTACATATTTGCACAAGTTCGGTGGGATGCATCTGAACGGCACATATATTTTTATATTTAATGTGAATTTTCTGAGAAATCTAAACTGAAGTTTATGTGTTTATGTGTAAGCTGGAACCATTCTTGTGAGCTAGTCCCTATACAGAAATGTTTCAGAAAGACAATGTCAGACGAATTATAAACCCCTCAAGCTGTGCAGAAAGAAGATAGTCTGTTAAGATTTTCGTGTACATAGGCATGTTTAAAAATATAGTCCTTTGTTGATTTCTTCTCTTGTTTTATTCTTTTTTTTCCCCTCTGATTGTCACTGTCTGAGTTTCTAGGTTGTAGATTAATGCTCAACACTACCCACTGTGTATTTGTGATTTGCGTTTTGTAATTAAGGGGAACAATGGGAGTCCATTGGGTCTCGTTATATATAATGGTTGGTTTAATTTGTTTCACTTCTATCTTGTTAATTGTAAATTGATCATTAAGATTTGAATTCTAATCTGTCACCAGGGTTATGAGTATTGAAGCTAGAGCAATGATCCTGGTTTTAATCACTGATGATGAGAAACAAATTTTATAATTTTGGTACATATTGCAGTTCATATATTTTAACACTGTATTTTATGGTGTTATAAATATTGTTAAATGACTTTTAGTGTAGTTTTACTGTTTGGACTATAATGTATAAATTATATTACCGGTTTGGCAACAGTAGGCATCCAACTGTGTGAGTTTAATTGAAGTAAAGAACACATACCCGGCTGAACTATTTTTCTGCGTGTTTGGTTGACTGCAGTCATTGCACTCAATACCAGGAGTGAAATGTTTGTTGAAGGTAGCTGTATGAAGATTGGAAACAGTCTGTCTGAAGGTTCAATCGTTAAAATTATATGCAACAATACTTCATCAGCAGAAAATATTTTAGAGCACGTATTTAATTTCCATACAAGTAAAGAATTGGTTTTAAGAGCAGGAAAAGGCAGTGTTTAAAAAGCACTGCAATGCAAAAGGTAGCTCAAAGGAGTAAAGGCAGGATTGCCACTTTAGTGTTCAAAAACTAGCACATCCAACTGACTTTGAATTGTGACTATTTAACGGTTGTGCATTTTTTTGCCTCTTGTATTTGAGTGTTTTGGAGAAACTTGTTTGGTTTTTCTTCCAAGACTCCTCCAGTGGGGATGGTAAATAAAACCTTAAATTGCTTTTTAAATAGGTAGTTGAGGTAGTTGAATGGATCCAGAAGAATAGAATATGCTCCTGCCCCATATCAATTATTTTTAATATACTGACAAATAAATGAGATTTGGCAAAATCTATTATGCATTTAATTACAAACATGCATTTTATATTTCATTTTCATGTGGTGATGTAGCTTTGCTCAGTGCAGTCAAAATAATATTGATTTCATACAGGTCTTCTAAGTCTATCAGATCTCTGAGGCACACACAAGATACATGACTGCATGACTTGTAGGGCCAGCCTGAGTCTGCAGAAGTGCACCTTCATGCAGAGTTCAGCCTAGATGGCGGCACTCCAAATGTCTGCATGCTGCAGTTTCTACTAACTCCACCACATCTTACTGCTCAGACTGTTAAACTCAGAGTAGGTCTTGTGGAGCACCATCAGCACATCCATGCTGTGTCCTTTAGTTGTGCTGAATCCATCTGACATAGTGTTTAGCACATAGATATTTCTAACTTGTCTCTGTCCCTGGCATTATGAGTGGGCTATCTCTGAAGCTCAGCACTGTGTACTTTGATTCTTGTTCCTCTCTCTCTCTTGCACCCCTGCTGTGATACCCTGGGAGCAGAGTAATTCGAAAGCATTTACGTAGAACTGGTCCTACCCCTGCCTCCTATATAAATGTGCTATCCCATTCAGTACAGTCATCAGGCTTATTACAGTGTGGTTGGTTTTGGAGGGGGGGGGGGTTGTGGTGTTTTTTTTACCCCAACAATTTGTCAAGTTATTTAAATATCAAACAGAATTAGCTGTTCTGTCTTTGGAAACTGAGGTGGATGAAAAGTATATTTAAAGATGTAGAGGGAAACTTTGACAAGTGATGATGAAGACTCTTAGTGTGCAGTATTGCGCTGGGACTGGTGTTCTCTGATGCTGACACATGTGAACCTTTTAACATTGACCTTAATAGGCATTCTGCCCTTCATATGTACTGTCCTTCAAAACGTCAGTGTCATTAAATATTTGAATCTTGGTGGTGAGACTCTTAGATATTTACATGGAAAAGGCATTGTGTAAATAATGTCTTAATAGGCTGCTTTTTTCTTTTTCCCCCTGAGTTCAACTGTAATTACAAGAGATGTTTTAGGAGTAGACAACACTAATATCGTGGTTCAAAGCATGAGGCATTTATGGCTGTATTTTACAGATTATGCTACTCATGTTACTTTTGTTTCATTAATTGTAATATTCAGTAGCATTTTAGTTTTGGTTGATTTGAATTCCTTGATCTTTCCAGAAAGACTTCAGGCACCCTCAAATATGATGGGGATGAATAAGTCCTTGAAAACTATAGGGACTTCTGTCACCTTGAATGCTGCTTCTGCTGTTTCCATGAATGAGACAATCACATATAAATGGAGAAAAAGAAGCAGGATCCCCCAGTTGGGAAACCCTAAAACCATGGTGATTTACAGTATTCCTACATGGCAAATTCAGTTGCTGAATTTTGCTGATAAAAAAAGGAATGCAGTATTGAACTTAGTCCCTGTTACCACTTGGTTGGGTTTTGTCACATCAGGTCTCTGTTGAGCTGCTCTGCAGTGGACCTTTGCTTTTATCCACTGATTGTCTGTCTTACAGTATCAGTATCAAGTACAGACTGCATTCACATTGTGTGATAACAGTTGGTCCAGTTGGCAATGCTTTGTTAATGCTGACATTTAAGTTACTAGTATTTCTGTTAAATGACCAGTGTACAAATTCAATTTCTGCTACCTTTCTATAACATCCTGCCCACTGTTACGTGTACCTATCCAGGAAACTCCTGGGCACTGAAGTTTGATGTACAAATATATCAGCACAATTCTGATGTATTCATCTGTGATGTTCCTTAACAGAGCTGTAACTCCCTATCTAAATTTAATTACATACAGTCTTTGTCCAAAGTTTCCCTTGCTAAGTTCTTTTGGATTCACAGATGATACCATGCATTGTTCTCTATTTAAACATGAAAAGATTATGTTGTCATTTCTAGATTTGACTTGTCAATGTAACAACATGATTTTGAGGGAGGAGTATTCCTTCCCCCCTGCACTTTGTTGTATTTTTCAGAATGTCAGTTGTTGTTGCATTCTATAACAGCCAAGAAGGTAAAGTATCTTTCTGCTGTAATTACAGCATATTTAAGTTTATGATTTAAAGATATATCTGAAGCTTTTTAATCTCGAGATCTGGAGTGGCAGATGCCATAAATCAAATTTGTTTGCTTTTGATTCGTACTTTTTGATGGTATTGCAGATTCTGACATGTTCTCATTAACCTTTTCCAAAGAGTTAAAATTGTACAAGTGCATCATGTATATTTTATCACAATTTAATCTGAGCTCTTTTCCTGATATTAAGAAACAGCTCGTGCCTGTTTCTCCATGGGCTGATGGTTAGAGATGTAGCAAGTAGCAGTCCCAGGTCATTCATGGACCTGGTGTCTTTGCTCACCCGTGAAGAATAAGAATTGCTTAGAAGTGACTAATATTCTTAAAGACTGTGCTGAGTTTTATGTAGGTTAGTGTGTGCCTGTATGATTTGTCCCTCGTTTCCTAAGGTTTTATTAATTTTCCTCTTAACGTGGCTTTGGTTTTTGGGTTTTTTTTTTGATTTCTTTTTCTTAGGGGGGGGCAGAGGCTGGAAGGGTTTGTGGGGTTTTGTTTTTGTTGGTTTTTTTGTTGTTTTTTCTTAAAATATGTGTAATGTGTTCATAGCATATGAGGTTAAATAAAGTTACTGAAACAGTACCAGTATTTAGAGTTTGACCTGTGCAGTGGAGTAAAGGTTGAAGTTTTTAGTAGATGTTTTTTTAAACTAAATGTTAGCTTTTGCTAATAAAGAAGTTGAAATGTGTTTTCAAAGTGCTAGCCAAATTCTTGCTTAACAAGTATGAATTTACATTTATTGATCTTATTTAACATCATGCATAATGCCAAGTGACATGCCTGTTTAAATGAGGCTGAAATTAGCTTAGCCAACCTATGACTGAGTGATTGCCATTGGCATATTTACCAGATACCCTTCAGCATCATGTTCTTTTGTCTCAAGATTTTCTGAAACAGAGTTTTGTTTCTGTACATTCTAGTAATAGCTTGTTTATGCATTACATATACATGTATGAAATTTTATAAATGCTGAAGCCACATATTGATGGCACGCTGCAGGATGAAATCTGACAACATCCATCATCGCTTTGTTTTACTTCTGTAGATCTGAAGTCAACCAGCTTAGTCAGGAAAAAGAGTATCTTCATGGCAGATTGGAGAAGATGCAGAAACGGAATGATGAATTGGACCAACAATGTATCCAGCATGGGAGAATGCATGAGAGGATGAAGTCAAGGTAGGAGGTCCTGTTAATCTGTCGGTATGTGATATGCTCAACTGTAATGGTTGTGTTGTGTAAACATAAAAATGACACTAGGTTGTGTGAAAGGCATTTTCCTTATGAAAATGACCATTCCTTCTCCCTCCCCAAGCATTCTGTCAAGTTTTTTTATAACATCTTTTGCTTGTGCCATTTTAGATAAATAAAAGGAAAGCTTGAACAACATAGTCTTCCAAAGAATTTAAGCCTAGTACATATGTGTGTGGGCTGCTTCGGCTGTTCTCTGCTCTAACTTGGATGAATAGTCTTACCATATCAAAAAAAAAAAAAAAAAAAAGGGAGGGAATAGGGGGGAGGTGGGGAGGAAAGACAGAGGAGGTTATTCAGTGATACAAATGTAGAGTACAGATGTGGATTCAATTATGCCATGTAATAGTTGTATTTTTGAGGTTTACCATCATTGAACTTGCATAAACAGACAAATCTTAGTGAAGATCTCAGTAACTAGAGAAATGCTAACAGCTTCCAGGCACCACTAGCCTTTCAGACAAGCAGTGACTTCCTCAGGAAGAGCTGGAAGCAGCTGCAGCAAGACTAGTATGAAATATTTCCACCAGTATCAATTGACTCTTCTGTCCAGAGTGTCCAGACTGATAATACCTTGTGCTGTGATATGGATTAGATGTCCTCAGAGATCACTGTGGATTCTTTTCCTTTTTGTTCCAGAAACTTCATCTATGCTCTGTTGTTCTGTTTTCCACTCTACATTTAGTATAACAGGCACTGAAAGAGCTTAAGCATGCTTGTGGAGGTAGAGGATGAAGTAAGGAGGAGGCTGAGCAGCAACTCTGCGAATCCAATCAGCCAGGCTAACTCTTGTCAGTACTGAAAGGCAAAATGCAGTTTAACTTCATTTAGACTAGACAGTCCTTACTGTGAAAGATTGTTTCCTTTTTTGATCACTGACCTACTGACAGGAACAGAGCTTGCATGCATTGAAGCAGGCAGTCCTTTATGCTCATTTTTTTTAAAGTATTGATTTTTAATTTTTTTTCTTTTTTTGCTGCTATCCCTTTATTCTCTGTCTATGTAAGCTTCTTCCTTCCAAGCACTTCATGTGTCCATTTCAGTTGCCCAGACCCCCTTCTTTCCTCTTCCTTTTCAGATTTCTGTTTGTTCCTCATCCTGTTCTTCTGTAACCCTGGACTGTCATCCTCATTTATATCTCGAAGAACAAAGTAATTCAAAATGCTGCAACTGTGTCCCTAATCTGTGTGACCATTTAATCTTTCCTTTTATCTCACCTTCCTTTCGGTTTCTTTACTCGTGGTGGATTCTTACCATATGGAGAAATGAGGACTGAAGGTTACTTCCAGAAGAAAAAAAAAAAATTCCCCCCCTCTTTTTCCTCCTAGCTGTTCTTCTGTAGAATTATTAGTATCCAGTTGAATTTAAGACTGCTTTGTAAGTTTTTGAGAAAATCTTTCCTCTGTCAGAACCAAATAAAATTGATCTACTGGAAAATGTTGCTTATTCTTTGCTGCAGCAGCAATGATTTATACACTAGAAAAGACTTAAAGCATTAATCCAGAAAAGAAAAGTGGTTTGAAAGCAGAGTGGCCATGCTGCAGGCAATGCCTTACCTTCTGCTGCTGTTTTGCTGACAAGGAGAAAAAACAGGACAGTAATAGCATTTGTCTTATTTAATATTTTAAAATATGTAAATATGGAAGAAATTATCAATTATTTGAAACATGAACAGTATACTTTGCCAGCATTTTAAGAGGGGGCTCTTTTAACGTATTTTTAATTGTGATCTTGCACTGTATTAATTTAAAATCCAGGTAATAAAGGAGAAAGTATAACTACTACAACAAATAAATCTCCCAGTTCCTTATATTTATGTTGAGAGACTTCCACCAAATCAAAACATCCAATTTTGAAAATAGAGATCTGACTATGCTACTCAGTAAAAGCAGAACAACAAATAATAATAATTATAATGTATTTTGCCTCAGATTTTCATCCATCCCTTAGATACTAATAATCACAGCAAAATACTATTAACACGTTAACACATTTCCCCTTTGTATGTTGCTACAAATAACTGATCTTTTTGCAACACAGTCCCACAAAGTGCATTCCTGCCTAATTTTCTAGCTGCTGTTTTTCTGGCTCTCTTTAGAAAGTTTCTTGTATCAAAATGATTTTGGCTAAACTTGGGACCTAACATTTACATTTGAATAATGAGGAATTGTTGTATTTGTTTAAGAAAAAATCTTTGTCAATACTTGTGTTCTCCAAGGAGAATATGATAGGCCCTGATATAACTATTTTGTGGAAGAAGCAAGATCTAATTGATCAGTCAGAATTTCTTTTTGAGAAAAACACTGTTTTGGCAGTCATAATAGTTGCATTCCTGAAAGTGAACAAGAAGATAACTCTTTTACTGCCTTTCCTATCTTTCAGTATAAATACATGCTGCAAATGAATACAGTCCAAAATTATGTAAGCAAGTTTTAAAGAAAGAGATTGCAGTCATTAAAGAGGATATTGAATCAGCCTTTTCAATGTAATGGAAATTTCCAGGCCTTTCAGTGTGTTTTTCCTTAGTGAAATATGGCATTAAAAGAAGTAGATGTCCATCTTAAATGATACAGCTGTCACATGCTACTGAGGCAAACTTGAATTGAAAGATGTATAGGTTGCAGGACTAGGGTGACATGTTATAAGAGTGCAGTGGAGCTCATAAAAAGATGTCCATTTAATGTTTTTAACCTAGCAACACTCTGGATCTTTGTTTAGATACATGTATGGGGCTTTTACATTAGTTTTTTTATTGTTTTGATATGGATTTTGCAGCTATCCACTTTATCATTTTAGGCAATGATTTGTTTAACTAAGTAGATCATCTCAAAAGTATTCATTAACGTGTCATAGAGTCACCTATGAGTCACTGAAAGTGGTCATCATGTGTGACTATGGATCTGAATCTTGGTGAAATAAATTCTTGTCTATTATGTAGCAAAGAGTCTGTTTGTAGAAATTTTCAACGTCACAGCAAATTATGTTATTAAATTCTTCAAATTCCCATTCTGTAGACTTGAGTTCATAGTAGAAATTAGCAGGTTGCAGAAAGTACAGAATTTTTTATAAGGCAACTGTAAAGATAGAAACTAGCCAAGAGTAAAAAGAAGATGAAGTAAAAATAAAAGGTGGTTTTTTTGGGTTTTTTTGGTGCTCCACTCCACGTAAAGTGAATAGATTCCAAATGAGGGAAAATTCAAAACCAAAGGAATTGTGTAACTGTACACGTAAAGTAGGTTCATTCTCTCCTTAATCTGGTTTCAAATGAGCATGTGTTTACACTTCTGTAGTTAGACCAGTTCTGTAAATGCAGATCCACTTTCTCATGAGCTCTTTTCTCTCCCAGTTTGGGGAGTAAGAAGAAGAAAAAGACAAGAATCTGCCTAGATCTTATTACTGCTGGAATGTATTTATAAATAAGTATTATTTGCCCAAGCTGCCATGGGTCAGGATTTCATCAAGCTATTTAAGTTCCCACTGAACTCCTGTAGTTACTATGTTCAATTAACTTGTCTGCATCTATTCTTCTCACAAAGCAGGCATTTGATTGTGAGTCAGCTATTTAGAGAATTTTTTCTGTGGACAGCCAGTGTCTAAAATGGGAAGCATTTAATTAAATATAGCTTAGCTCTTTCCTGTGTATGTTTCCTGTTAAAGACCCTGGTGATATGTGGAAATACAGCAAATATGGAGTAGTATCTTCAAGCAGGAGAAGAAAATCTTAGACAATTTCTTTCATTTTTTCAAGATGAGCTGACCGTACCTTTACTTTTTATCAAGCAGCTAAAGGAAAAAAAAAAGCATTTGGATAGTAGTTTATTTGAAGTGGAAGTCTCTTTTGAAATCTTTTTAATAGAACATGTATTTAGAAGCTTCTAATGAGTTTTTTCCCAAACGTTTTTTCAAACTAAGTTCAGCATATGGAATTTGGGGCTATGAATTTTCTCTGTTTTGGTGATTAGAGTTGGTATTACTGTTATTTTTGCTGTAAGGTGTGTGATCGCTGTTCAATCTGTGTAACATTAACAATAATCATACATTTTATGCAAATTTGTATGGGGCTTTTTGTTGTGGTAGCTTTTGGGGTTGACACTGTTAGATGTATTCCAACTGTATTTTTGCTAGCTAAAGTTAAAAAGAAGAGCCTACAGGACTGGCAGTTTGGGGCAGATGTGTGTCTATTCCTTAGGCATCAGTGGTTGTAAGTTAACTATAAAAATGTTACAACCATCTGTGTAACAAGACGGCAGAGATCTGCTCTCGCCTGTTACTATAAATAAGAAGGAGATTTGTTTGACTTCATAGACATTGGATTTATAAAGACTATATGTGTCAAATTGTAACTATGTGCCATGTTGCTGAGATATGTCTGCAGCCAACTACCTGGGGTGTCTTCCCCTTCAGACATTCTAGTGTAGTGCAGCAACTGTGCAGAAATGTCTGTATAGCACAACATGTGACAAATTATATTTGTTTTCTACCTATGGCGAAATGTATGATTCTTATGGATAAGCTTATCTGGAAGAGTAGCTAAAATGGATTTTTAAATGGACCACTCAAGGAGTGAAAATGCAATATTCAGTTTGACAAGGATTTTAAAGGCTTTTTGCCACCATTAGGTTTATTTTTTTGTTTTGCTTTCTTCTTAAATAATAGTGTATGCAAGATCATGTGTGCATGAGAGAGCACATATCTGTGAGAATTGAGACAGAGAGAGAGAATACACCAGCATTTTCAAGTAACTGATTTGTAAAATCACAATAGCTAGTTTGCTGTCACTATTACACTTCTGAATAGAAATTTTTGATTTCTTGGCAAATCTTCAGTAGAACAATTGATTAAAATTATTTCTTGATAACTGGAGCAATCAAGTTGCATTTGAAATTTTACATTTTCTGTCTAAAGCTCTGGTATTTTGTGTGTATGTG